AAAAAAAAGAAAGACTCTAAGGTAGCACTGTCCAACAGAACTTTCTATGATGATGGGAATGCTCTATATTTGTGCTAACCAATATAGAATCCACTAGCCACATGTGCCTATCTAGTACTTAAAGTATGGCTAGTGTAAATGTGGAACCGAATTTTTAATTATATTCAATTTGAACTAATTTGAATTCAAATAGCCACATGCCACTTGTGGCTACCAAAACAGTGTAACTACAAGGTCATAAACTTGGGAGACTGGGCAGATGGTGGTAATACCAAGTGAAGTAGAAGAGGGTAGGGGTAAGAGATTAGGTAGAATGTTAATTTGGGGGAGTGTGAGCTACCTATGGGTCATCCAAGTTGAAATGTCCAGTAGGTAACTGCATTTACAAATCTAAAGCACAGGTGAGAAAACTGGGTTCCAAAAAAGTGCGTTAAAGATGAAACTATGAGTAGGATTCATATTAAAGAGGTAGGTGGAAGACCATGAAGGAAACTGAAGGAACAATATAAAGAAAATGAGTAAAGGACGGTGTTAAGAAAACCAAGGTAACAGAGTTTCAAGACAGTGATGTATTAAACACATAGATGTGACAAAATAACACCAAAAACATGTTCAATAAATTTGGCAAATAAGAAATCATTAGTGATTTGGTTGGAGAAGTTTAATGGCGGAGATAAAATGCAGATTGTAGTTCAGGAATGATGTACCAACAAGGAAAGAGAGATGGCAAAATATAGCCCATCTTTTCCCCTACCACTCTAGGAAGGATGTAAAGACAATGGAGGTTATAAGCTGAGGAGGTGATTAGTGTCAAATGATACACTGGGGTAAAGAACAGTTTCAAAATGAGTAAGAGATGTTCCATCATTAAGTACTAGGCATTCCAGACTCTCTTCATAAATCCTCCTAGAATATCCCCAAAGCTTATCATAGTGATTTTAAGGAGATATTCCCCAACTTCTAAATCATACTTTCAATAAGTTGTTTTAATATTCACCAGGCAATCTAGTTCACACCAGTATGTTGCTTAGCAGGAGTAAACAACTAAGATCCAGCAAAGACCTTGCTATCATGGTTATATGTTACATAATGTAGAGCTCAAATAAATAAGGCTTTATTACTTTATAGTTTAAAAATATAGCTACATATATGTGTTAAAAGAATTGAAAGTATCATTTGAACCACTATAATAACTTTACAATTATCCAAGACATTCCTAGAACATAGGTAATATTTAAATTTTAATTTTATTTATGTCACTTTCTT